TTTTTTTTCCGAAACGATAGAGATTTTATGTAAAGCGCACAAATGTGCAAAGAACAACCATCAGCTGAATACAAATAGGCAACAGCTAAAAAAGTGGGAGGACATGTCAAAAGACAGCCTAGAACCGACCCCAACAGGGTAATACTCAGGAACACTAAAAAACACACACACATAAAAAAATGACCCCACAGGGTAATACCCAAGTGTCGGATCCCAACAGGATAATAAGGTGACACTCGGGCGCACAGAGGCCAACGACCCAAACCAAAACACAAAACACTAGTCCTAAGCAACATAAAAACAAACAACACAAAACAACTAATGCAAAAACCTAATGAACAAACAAACAAGCCCTTCCACGACATAAAAATCGAGATGAATCGGTAGTGAAGCAATCGATTTTAAAGAGACATGCTGATATAGGATATTATACCCACCAGGCTAAACCGGTCTGATGAACCTGACGAGGAGGTCATATCACGAGGGAACCAAACCCTGTGGCGGGAAGATCGAGCAGCTTACCTGTCGACCAGTCAAGTAGTCGACCAACCCGTCATTCGACCAGATGAGTGATTGAGCAACTCATTCGACCTCAACAGGTCGATCATCTTGCAGACCTAACACTCTAAATGAATCGGCCTAGTCACAGGCGCGTGAGAGAGCCTCTAACAGAATTCCCGAAGAATATTCACCCCATTTGCAAGAGGACACGTGTCGAAAATGCAGTGGTTGTTAGCAATAACCACCTCTGACAGCCTACCCCATGTGCAGGAGGACACGCGTCCAAAGAGTATTGATGAAGGCGATAGTGGCGATGGCTGCCTCTGACACACGCGTATTGTGTGTACGGACGGGCAGTTAGGGTAGACAGCTCACCAAATCCGGGCAGCCCTAGGTCAGGTATCTCACCCCTATATAAAGGGGGTGATCCTTTCTTCTCCAACACGATTTTTCCATTATTCACTTCAATATACTCATACACATACTGACTTAAGCATCAGAGGCTCTTCACCGGACACAACCCCCGGTGTGAGAGTTATTTGCAGGTTTCTGGCGTTCTACCGGCGAGGACAAGAATCGATCTACCCCAAACCGGACCAGGACGTGCACACTTGCATTATTGGCGCCTGTCTGTGGGGACTTTCGTTTCAAAAGTTGTGTTTGAAGCTCAGCTATGGCGGACGGAATTCCCAAAAACTTGCAGTCGACGTTCGTCGAAGCTTGGACGACGACCATGCTGTTTGGGCAGGGCCCTCCTCTGGGTTTTTCTGGCCCATCGCAGACGCCGATCACTCCTATACCTATCCTTCAAGGTGTGGGAACGACGACAGCGATTCCCGGAGGAGATGCCGGCTCCAGCCGTGCCCAAGAAGCTCGCGCAGCAGCTGCAGCGGCGATGCCACCGCCGCTGCCACAAAATCCAGTGGTGGTACAATCAGGAGGAGCGATGGTGCAAGGAGGAGTGGCGACACAAGGAGGAGCACCACAACACGCCGTCGCACAAGCTCCTGGTCAACAGATGGTGACGATGACCAGAGAGGAGATGCAAAGGATAGCGGCAGCCGCGGCGGCTCAGGCGGTGCAACAAGTCACGAGCCACACATCTCACGCCACCACCGCGCCGACCACGGCGGTAGGAGGCCAAGACAAGGACGTGTCCAGTTATGGAGATGGAGGAGGTGGAAGAGATCGTGCGATGGAGAGGATGGCGGAGCAGTTGCGCCAGTTGCAGGACAAGGTTGAAGGAAGGCCGGAAAGAAGGGCTCGAGGACATCCGTTTTCGAGGGAGATTCTCGCAGCCCCCCTACCGAATAATTTCAAGGAGACTAATCTGGTGTATGATGGGTCGTCTGACCCGTCGAGGCATGTGAGGACCTTTGAGAACATGGCTGTATTACATGGGTATTCTTATTCTGTCCGTTGCAGGGCATTTCTATCGACCTTGCGTGGGGGAGCACTTGACTGGTTTCATCAATTACCCCCGGGGTCGATCGCAGACTTTGAGGATTTTGCCAGCAAGCTTACCAACCAATATTCGAGCGCGGTGGCGCAGGAGCAGACATACTTGACGCTGATGGCGATGAGGCAAGAAGAGAAGGAGTCGCTGAGGAAGTATGTTGCCCGATATAATCAAACATGTTTGGAGGTGCACTCAGTGTCGGATGAGGTGAAAGCGGAAGGATTGATACGGAGTCTTCGAGCGGGGCCTTGTCGAACCTCCCTGGAAAAGACCCCTGCTCGATCATATGAAGACGTTTTGAAGTGATGCAGGAAGTATATTAATTTGGAGGAGATGGAGATGGAATTTGCAAAGCTGGAGGGGGCGGCTCGACCAGAGCCAAATAAGGAGAAGAGCCCGCCGAGGGAAAGATCGCCAAGGAGGAATTCGCCTAAGAGGAGTAGGCCGAAAAAAGCATCGCCCAGGAGAGAAAGTCGAGATTCGAAAAAGGAGAAGAGGGACGAATGGCAGAGGAGGCCGATGTTGTTCGAAAGACAGAGGTATCATAGTTTTACACCCTTGAGGAAAGATTTGACAGAGGTGCTTGAGTCTATGGAGCAGAAGATGTCGAGCGAGGATGTGACGTGGCCGAAGACGAGGTTTACAGGCCCGATTCGACCCAGGTCGGATATCTACTGTCGTTTTCACCGAGATTTTGGCTATACCACGGAGAACTGTAGACATTTGAAGGATGAGATTAAAAGGTTAATTCGGGCAGGGCACCTGAAGGAGTTTGTGTATCATGACAGGGCGAGAGGAAAAGGGAGAAGAAGATGTCGGGAGGAATCTGAGGAGAGAAGTGATCGAGAT